AATTTACGAACCGTCGCATAAAGATTTCAAGCTTCTTAAATGTACATCTAAACGATTAGGGGTAGTTCACCCCGTGATAAAGGTGACTGACGACAGGAACATTATTCAGTCACCCACATTTGAGACAGACTAAATTTACATTAAGTTTGATAATAATTGTCGAGATAATTCTAAGCTATCTTTCGTATTTCATCTCATAAAATTCGACGAGTGGTTTCACCCCTTAAAAATGAGAACGGGCCATTAAAAAAAAGAAACGTGTACCTCTTATTTCTCGATTTGAAAATTCTAAAATAAAGTATAAAAAAGATAAAAGCTCTAAAAATTCTATCTAAATAAAAAAACGTCTGTCCAGCACTTGTGTCTTACAATTAACACAGTTTTTAGATGATTACAAGTAATTACAAGCAAATTTATACTAAATTTGCGAATAATTTTTGCGTTGATTTTAAGCTTTCTCTCATATATCATCTGTTAAACATCTAGGAGTGGCTTCAACCCCTAAAAATAAAAACGGGTCGATAGAAGAAAAAGGAACACGCATCTTTTATTTCGCGGTGCTTCACATCGGAAAAACCATGCAATCGGAGACGGGCGTCTAAAAATCCTTCCCGAGAACCCTAAAGAAGAACGATCGAGCAGGGGCGAAAGAGACGGCGCCGTCGGGAAAGGGAAAATCGGCTGAATCGTGATCGGAAGTACTACCCGAGTGACCCGGTTTCCGTTCATTAATTGGATCAATTGCCGATTCCGGGCTCTCGCAGTCCGCTCGGCACCCTCTTTATTTCTTGGTGAGCGGGTCGCAACGCGATTTGGATCCCGACCAGCGCCTGGAACAGACACGTCCGATAGGGGCGGTCGCGCGGGGTCCGCGGGGACGCGGGCGGACCGCAAGGCCGCAGACGGCCGTGACAAATCTCGGCTGACTTGCAATTGTAATGTTTAATCAGACGTGTAATTATGTCTACGGAGCACGGCGGCGTGCGCGGCAATGGCTGCGCCGTTACGCGGCTGCCAGTTGCCAACCCGGAGAGAGACTGGAGACGGATGAAATTTCCTCGGCACGGCAAGTCAAATATTCGCACGAATACGATTACGCGATTTAGCACGGCTCTCTACGCCGCTTCCGAGGCTTCCGAGGCTACCGAGGCTTCCGTGCAACGGCCGCACTTCCGGCTTCCGTCCCACTCGCTCTCGCGCCGCAAATCTCTCTTTCTCCCCCGCTCTCTCTCTCTCTCTCTCTCTCTCTCTCGCGCGCGCCTCGCTCGCGAAGCCTCGCTCGCGCTATTACTCGCCGAGTAATAAACGTTTATGAGCCGGCCTGCCAGCGTTCCCGCGAACAGACACTGGAGCTGATTATTCGATTACCGCGGCCACTATTTCAACCCTTGCGCGACGTTCTAATTTTCTGATTCTAATTTTTCTGCGCCCCCGTCGTGCAATTCTCGTCGAGACCGCGACCGCAGTTATTAACGCTCGCAGAGCAATCGGTGAAAAATGTACGCGGAAGACGGTCCCTCGACCCGCTCTTTCGTTTTATGATAATTAGACCGCGGATCTTTGTGCGAATGAAAAATTGTCTCAGTCGAGACTGGATCAGAATGCAAATCTATTTCTTCTTCCGACGATTTAAACAAATGACGGAGAACGTAGGAACGTTCTGCATTTCTTTCAACGTTTTCACCGCGTGGAATTTCGCCCGGTCATTTTTCTCATGAACGCGTCAAATCCGCGGTTTATTAACAATTAATTGAGACGTACACGGCGCGCAGAAATATCTGTTCCTATGTTTGTGTATTTCTATTTAGCTGCTTCGGAAATGAGAACACTCCGATTTAATATTCCGGATATTTCACCAGCTTGAACATGAAATTCAAACACGTGAATCGCGAACTGCTTCGTTATATTTTTGATGATTTTGAACATTTTCAATGATCGTGAAACTCGCGGTTATTGCAATTTCGTTTCCCGCTTTTGGTGAAGCTTGTTTGAACTCATTCGACGACTTGAATAAATGACGGGAGATCTTCTATCTTCAATAATAATAATAATAATAATAATTTTAATTCTTTTTTTTTAATGTCATCTTTACCTTCTTTTACAACTCGCGAAATGTATGTCGATATGAGACCGCATAAATGAGTAAATTAAATGGAATACGTGATAGAAACGGATATTTTAGTAATACAATAAATTCTCCCAATTTTCCTTCAGCTTGTAAATAAAAATAGATTATTTGGGAAGAGAAGATACGATAATTCAAGCCTTGCGGCTCGTTTTTGTAGCTGTTGACAATCGAAAAACCGAGTCGCAAGGCTCGAATAATCGTATTTTCTCTTCCCAAATTATCCATTTTTATTTACAAGTTGAAGGAAAATTGGGAGAATTTATTTTATAGCTGTTGACAATCGAAAAAACGAGTCGCAAGGCTCGAATAATCGTATCTTCTCTTCCCAAATTATCCATTTTTATTTACAAGTTGAAGGAAAATTGGGAGAATTTATTTTATAGCTGTTGACAATCGAAAAACCGAGTCGCAAGGCTCGAATAATCGTATCTTCTTTTCCCAAATAATCCATTTTTATTTACAAGTTGAAGGAAAATTGGGAGAATTTATTTTATAGCTGTTGACAATCGAAAAAACGAGTCGCAAGGCTGGAATAATCGTATCTCTTTTTCCAAAATTGTTCATTTTTATTTACAAGTTGAAGGAAAATTGGGAGAATTTATTTTATAGCTGTTGGCAATCGAAAAACCGAGTCGCAAGGCTCGAATAATCGTATCTTCTTTTCCCAAATAATCCATTTTTATTTACAAGTTGAAGGAAAATTGGGAGAATTTATTTTATAGCTGTTGGCAATCGAAAAACCGAGTCGCAAGGCTCGAATAATCGTATCTTCTTTTCCCAAATAATCCATTTTTATTTACAAGTTGAAGGAAAATTGGGAGAATTTATTTTATAGCTGTTGACAATCGAAAAAACGAGTCGCAAGGCTCGAATAATCGTATCTCCTTTTCCAAAATTGTTCATTTTTGTGCAGAATACGATTTCAAAATTAGAATTTGAAAATCTGCAAATAGAGGAGAATTTTTCAGACCAGCATTCCGACCGAGTTAGTTCTCGCGCAGGATGTGCTGAGCTGTCCACTAATACCGAAGCTACTCTAGTATTTATAGTGGCTCCTCTTCCATGAAGTGGCTCGCGCATGATCAAGCATGCTTGTCAATCACGGCTGACAAACCGTGATTGACTGTTTCCTATGACCGACAAGCTGATGCACGCTCGAAGATGATACCTCATGCTGTAAAATCGATGATATTCGACCTTATTGTTCCGCGGCAGGCTGCGATATCGTGCAAATTTATTCCGTTCCAATGATTTTGTAAATATAGTCCGTAACTAGAAAACAGGTTCGTTTACGGTGATCGAATAAATTCATTTCATGAATATTCTGGGCAAAAATGAGATCAACTCGTGGACGTAGAATTTTCGAAAGTGAACGAATAAATTGTACGTAATCGAAAATTCGTTAGCATTTAAAAATTGTCCGGTTCTGTCAGCCCCAGAACAAAACGGAGAATCCAACATTTAATCGATTTAATATTAACATAAATTAGTAAAGTAATAAATTAACAAAGTAAAGTAATTAATGAATTTCTAATCGCATTTATGATAATCTTGTATAATCGAGTGAATCTACGTTTATTTCTGACAAAATTTCCGAATTTGATCTAACATTGCTATAATAATCATATTACTAGAAATTGCATTATTTAAACAATTACGTGTTTCACTAAATGCATCGTAACGAATTTCTAATCGCATTTCTGATAACCTTGAAAACACAAATACAAAAATATCAAGTGAACCTATATTTATTTCTGACAAAATGTCCGAATTTGATCTAACATTGCTATAATAATCATATTAATAAAATTGCATTATTTAAATAATAACTGTTTCAGTAAAGGCATTGTAACGAATTTCTAATCACATTTCTGATAACCTTGAAAACACAAATACAAAAATATCAAGTGAACCTATATTTATTTCTGACAAAATGTCCGAATTTGATCTAACATTGCTATAATAATCATATTAATAAAATTGCATTATTTAAATAATAACTGTTTCAGTAAAGGCATTGTAACGAATTTCTAATCACATTTCTGATAACCTTGAAAACACAAATACAAAAATATCAAGTGAACCTATATTTATTTCTGACAAAATGTCCGAATTTGATCTAACATTGCTATAATAATCATATTACTAGAAATTGCATTATTTAAACAATTACGTGTTTCACTAAATGCATTGTAACGAATTGCCAGCAGATAACGAAAACCAGATATATAAATCGTGAATTACGAATAACGTCGTTACATCAGAAAAATTAGACGAACCTATATCATTATCTCCGCCATCGTACAGGACTTCCGGCAGAACTAATTGCGGGCACAGGTGGCCGTTAATTCTTCCGGACGGGCGCGCGCGCGCGCGCGAGCGGCGTCCAACAAATTCTCACCTGCCGTAAACGCATAAACAGCCGCGATCCAGTTATCAGGAGGCGATCGCGTATCCCCGGGGGTCGTAAAATTCCTCGTAAAAACCGACTCGGGGGCGAAACGGTCGCAGGAATTAATCTCGACACGACGCGATCGCCTCGCGCGTTCGTATCGGCCGCGATCTTCGCGAGAGTAATCGACGGGGAAGTTGCCGCGAACCGGAAGAGGCGAACTTAATCGTCGAAACTGTGGCACGAGGTCTTAAATCTCGGGAACGGCCGAAACTAAGTTTCGCGCGGGTTTGTTTTACGAGGCGGCCCCGCGCCCCTCGACGCGATGTCCCGGCAACGCCGTGGAACAGGAAGGTTAAGGGAGGTCGTGGGTGATCAGGGTGTTCGGGTTGTTCGGGGTGTCGGAGTTGTCGGCTCCGCGGAAGAACGAGGGCCGCGATCGTAACGCTTTTAACGCAGCAATTTCGCGTTTCTGCGCAGAGGGAAGATGAACGAGATGGAGCAGATTCCTGAAGGCTGAGACCGAGCGGATCCTCGAGATATGACCGGCTGGAGAATGCGGCCGACTTCATCGGCGCTCGGCGTCATCGCCATTGTCGTCTCCGTCATGATCACTGCCACGGCGTCAGGTGAGCTGCCTTTCATATTCGCCACGATTTTTCACCAGCATCCCCCATTTTTCCGGCGAATTCTTAACACGTCGAGCACCGTGGTAGTCATCGGTGACTCGTGAAGCCAAGATTACTAGAATCATAATTAATGATTTGACATTTTTCTGCATTATTATTTTCTATTTATTTTTATTTTTTAGACTATACATACGATACATACGAGGTTCCCTTTACCGACTGAAACCTCGGTCGTTCTGTTCTCGCTGCAATAGAAAAACCGTGCTGCAAATTGTATCGAAAATATACCAATTTATAACAGCTGTTTCCATTCTTGGATTACGACAATGTTTAAGTTCGAGTTTCATATTATTTTTACTAGTGTTTAGGACTGCATGAATCTATAGGAAAGCAAAGGATTGACAAAAGCGGGTAGACGAAATGATTGTAGGTGTTTCGAGGATGAAAGTTGAATCTATTTTACAACGAGCAAGGCTGGTAATATACGCTGAATTTTCGCAAGTGAAGTCGCGATAATGACGAAGAATCTCATCGTTACCGAACGTCTCGTATTAGGCTAGATTAGACTAGATTAGGCGAACGCGCCTGTGGTCGACGCCTATTTATACCGGGGCCATAGGTTACAAGAAGAAGTAAAGAGTGGAATTTTGAAAAGGTCAAGACCAGGGAGGCACAGTGCGACAGTTAGGGCAATGCCTTGACAGCCGTCACTGCTGGGGGTGTAAGGAAAATAGGTAACGGATTTTAGATTACGATATAAAGGATCGATGGTCCCTGCGTTCGTTGCGTCACGGATCGTCAACATCTGACGTCACATCTGTTTACACTTTGGGTTCGTTCCCCCGAATCGTCGCGGCGAACTTTAACAGCCGAGCTCGGAGGTATACAAAAACAAAGTGACGCGCGAGGTTTTTGCGCGCTCGCGGCTGGCCACGCAATCGCCCGATTCTTGCATTCTACTTTATAATTTCATTATTTGGGCGGAACTTGAACAACTGAAAATTAAAAGGTTAAAGTTTTTTGTGGGATCAACTTCGTTAGTAGATTTAAACACTTTTTGGAATCGTTCGTTATCGACAAGTGCAATTGGAAATGGAACATCGGAGCCGCTATATCGAAACTTCGTTTCCGGAAACTGAAGCATTTTTTGTTTCGAGAAAAAAGAGAGATGTTTTTGGCGTGCCGAATGTAATTTTCAGAAACTTGGGCAAGAGGAGTTACCATGTTTATGCAATTTTTTAGAGGAATGGTCCGAAAGTATTACTAGAGTATGCTTAAAAATAGGGGAAAATTATAAATATCTGCGGTGTTAGCTATTTTCTGGTGTCCGGAAAAGGTAAACAGAAGATGCAAGCAAACGGATCTTGAACAGAAAGACGTCCTTAACCCTAGAAAGATAACCATATGACAACGTACGTAAAAGATAACCATACGCTTCAGAGGCGCATGCTTTTCTAAGGCGTCAATTTTATACTAACAATGGATATTTATTTAAGTTAATCTAGTCATTTTAAAGGTTTGGCATTATTGTAAAAATAAAATGCATTTATATTATATTTTTTTATATTTTAAGTAATTTTAAACTTAAATCACTAGACCTCTATGAAAAATTAACAAAAATCAACAGTCTTCGCAGGCGCCTCTGCGACGTAGGTTATCTTTCTCGGGTTAAAGAAAGATGAAATTTCTAAAGGGAGAAAGACATTTTTAAAGAAGGGAAAGAATTAAAGAAAGAAATTTTTATTCGACTCATCCTTATTGCAATTATCGAAGATAAGATTTATTTGGCCCAAAGATCCGCTGTCTCCTAATCGTTGACGCTTCTTTGGTCATCGCTAAAAAAGTACAGTCGAGTAGTAGTGTCCCGTTTCAAGTCGGACAGCTTCGCGAATGCCATATTCCTACGAATCACATAAAGTAATATTTCCTGTGAAAAGTACTAAACAGAAAACGCGTTTGTTGGAAGATCCCATTCTCGCCAACCTTTAAATCAGAACGCAGCTTTTCTCCAGCCGATGCTACGGACTACCCAAAACCTGTTCCATCCGCTTTTAACGCGATAACGATATCCGTTCGCATAAGCAGGCAGCCCGTTTGCCAAATGTCGCATGGAACACCGGATTCTCGATGCATACAGCGTTTGGCTGAGATGTATCGCGCGGAAAAAACTAATGTCGCTCCGTATTTATCGCAGCCATGGAATTCGTAAAAAATGGTAACAATGGAGCCGATCACTGTCAATTGACCAATTACTGTGCCTTTGCTTTTTTTCGGTTTTTATATTTATCGAGTAAGACATATTCAATTTTTGTATTCCTTTATTTTGTTTACATCTTTGTAGAAAGAATCAATATGATATTACAGTTAAAAATTGAATAATTATTCGATAGATATAAAGTTAACATACTACTTGCGAAACAGATACCTTTCTAAAAGTTTACTTTTACAATTTTTGTCACGTATTCGACAGAAATCTTATTGTTAGTATCTAAAATTTGAAATATTTTCCAAAAAATGAATTTTTTCCAACTTCATTGGCTTTTTTCTCGCTAGGCGTGCAAGCAAAGCTCGATCCGTGACCCGCGCAAAATTAATTGGAGACCCCACGGTAGCAGGTACAACTACCCTATCCAGCTCCCATGTAACAATTTCTCTATGGCGAACCATACGGACGAACGAACGAATTCCCAGGTAATCGAACAGCTTCGAAAACCCAGCGAAAAAAAGCGCAACACGTCCGGCAACATCTTCACTATGAATAGCCGTGCATCCTGCGCGCAGATTCTCTAATTTTCTCATCGAAATCCCATCGCCGATCCGAAACTTTTAATGATGCAATTTCAGTTCCGCGCATACCATCGTTGCGCAATTTCGAGGCCAGTAAAACAGCAGATATTTTTTTCTCGCGAGAACGCGCGCGCGCGGCCGGACGCGTACGTATTGGGTTGGCAACTAAATAATTGCCGATTTGTTCAATGAAATACAAAATTTTTTTACTTGGAACGAAGTTTAATCTGTAATGTATTTTCCATTTTGTTCGATGACCTTTTGCCATCTCTCCGACAACTTGAAAATTCCACGCTCGTAGAAAGTCTGATCCTTTTCGGCCAAAAACTGAGTTAAGTGAGATTTTACAGCGTCATCATCGTTAAAAGTTTTACCACGAAGGGAGTTGTCCAGGGATCGAAATAAGTGGTAATCCGATGACGCGAGATCAGGGCTATATGGTGGGTGTAACATCAATTCCCAACCAATATCCATCAATTTTTGCTGAATGGACAAACACGTGTGCGGCCTGGTGGAAAATGACACCTTTACGATTGACCAATTCTGGTCGCTTTTCCTTGACCGCTGCATTCAATTTGTCCAGTTGCTAACATTCACGGATAATAAAAAATAACATAATAATAATAATAATAATAATAATTTTATAATATAACATTTACGGATATCATAAAAATGGGAGTGAGAGACATCTATAACTGAAATCGGCAATTACTTGGTTGCCAACCCAATACATCGAAGGACCGGGAACCCGTCGAAAACGAAAACGCGTGCTCTCGAGCCGCACTCGCAATTCCCGCAACACAACTCCGGAGATTAAGCCGTAGACGGACGCCTGCTGGGATTGCAAAAACGACCGGTGCTGGGGAGGGAGATGAGGCGACGAGGAGGAAAGCGGCGAGGTGGCCGAGCTCGTGCAAAAAAGTTCCGCTAATTTTCCGTAATTACAGGCCGAACTAGGAGCCCGCGCGATCGGTCACGTAACTTCGCGTTAATTGTGTAACCGCAGGCGCCCATCGATCATAATTTCCCAATTCCGGAGCCGGATTTGCGGGACCTGTCGACCGGCAAATTCTCCGGATTACTTCTGGCGAATACCTTGTTTCGCGAGCGGTCTTGTCGCCCCCGCTCGGCCCTCTTTTTCCACGGCGACTCCTTTTTGCTCGCGGCGCGAAGAGTTCGCGAGGCTCGACGACATTTTTACACCGGCGAACAATAATGACCAATTTTTTGGTCATTAACCCTAGGATCGGTATTTCAAAATCTTCCGTCTTGTACGCGTTCAATTTTACCGAATAAATGATTAATTGAATTTCGATACAAAAAAATGTAATACGTCTAATTTGATACATACAGGGTGGCCCATAATTATGTTAACACCCGAATAGGAATGATTCCTGAGGTCATTTGCAGTAACTTTTTCCTTATCGAAAATGCAATCCGCGGCTTTGTTTACGAGTTATTAACGAAAAGTTGTAGTTTTTATGGAATTTCATGGAAAATATTTTTCCCAATGGATTATAAAGGTAACACAAATTACGGTTAGAATTATTATACAATGTCTTTTACTTATTGGTTTGTTACAAGAATATGTTAGAATACTACAAAATTATGAAATAAAGTCACTATACAAAATGATGCGCTAATTACGATATTCTGCAAATTTCTTTTGGTTGACGAGCAAAGATGAACAGTGCATATAGTGCCTACATTATGCGGCGTTTAGCACAATTCGCGCATCTTTCAATTTCTTCCGCATTTTGCATGTTGCGGAAAATCACGTTTCGTACCAAAAATAACCAATAATTAAGTACGGGGATTTTAAAGTGGGGAAAAATGTTTCCCTTAGTCGTGAAAGGGTGATGTGACTCTGCTACCCTTCAGAAGAATTCCAGAAACGGGGCACCCGAGCGAAACGAAATACAGTAATGTCTCTCTAATCGACGCACAGATTGTGCACAAAAATGGACAATTTGGGAAGAGGAGATACCATTATTCGAGCCTTGCAACTCGTTTTTATAGTTACCGATTGTATCTCCTCTTCCCAAGTTGTCCATTTTTGTGCACAATCTGAGCGTCGATTAGGGGAGACACGACCGAAGGAAAAAACGGAAAGGGAACCCGCGTCGAGGAGAAAGGGGGAAAAGTCGAATGTCGCGGCGAGCGGAATCGAGGGGGGTGAATAAACGCATCGAGTGGTGGAGCGAAGAACGCCA